CCCACGGGCTGACGGCCCCTCAGGGCGTTAGGAATCCCGGTCCAAGCCGCCCACCACCCAGTTTCGCCCCCGGCGGGGCTGGAGGCGCCTTGCTGGGCCTGGAGTGGGATGGGATGGGGGTAACTGAGTCAGGGAGGCGGGGATTTCCACCTGGCGGCCGTGCACCTGTTGGGAGGAGACAGCTCCGGTTCACGGGGCAAGGCAGGCGACGATGGGCAATGGGCCTGTGACCCCAGGTCCCCGACGCCAGCGAGCCGGATGATGGGAGGGATGCCCCTAGAGTCAGAGGCCAGTGACCCGAAGTGGGCCTATTGGTTTTGCTCTAAATTCTCTCCATTGCTGTTCTATGACTTCGACAATTAAAAAAATAAGTCTAAAATGAAACCACCTGTGTAGAGAAAATAACCTGGAATAAGTTGCACAGAGGCCATGGGGAGGCCTGGTCACGGCGCCACTGATTTAGTGCCAGGCCCTCACCTCCTTCCCTCTACAAAGATCGATGGTTTTGTAGCCAGAGGGTCATGCAGTGAGGACTGAACACCTGCTTCCTAAGGTGTCTCGGGGTGTCCCTGGCCCTCCCCTGGACCCTCCCACTCCTCTGGGCAGAGCTGGGACTGCAGATTTGGGAAGACCAGGCCTTCCTCCCTGCAAGGCAGGGCCAAGGACAGCATGAGGACCCACCTGCAGGGACCCCTCTCCCCCGACCCTGTCCCAGAGGGGACTCGGAGCTCCCCACCCGTTTCAGCTCATTCAGGACTCCATGCTGCAACCAGTGTTGCAGGTTGGTGGCCTCACAACCACCCTCCCAATATCATGAGCCTTCTATAGATGAAGAAATGAAGTGGGCATGCAGCAGCCAAGTCCCCACACCAGGTACCTGGACTTGAGACCACATGAGTGGTCCACCAGCCAGGGGTGTGGGGTTTCCTTTATGGCACCCTGCATCAAGACGGAGGCCCGGGAAGGGAGGATGCTACCGAGCAGTAGAGCTGGTGGTAGTCAAGGTTGTCTGTACCTGCAGCCCCGCAAGACGCCTTGGGGCTAGAGGGCCCTTCCACGGCCGCTTCAAGGGTTTAGCAGCATTTCTAGGCACCACACCCTGGCGGCCCTGGGGCACGCTGGAAAGGGAGTTCAAGAGGAAAGAGAGAGTGTTTGCATTGTGCTGTGTCCTCACTGCCCCCACCCGACCCCCCAACCCGTCGCACTGTGGCTCCTGCCAGGCCAAGTAGACCAGGGGAGGGTTTTTGGTCACCAGCCCAGGAGACTCCGGCACACCCGTGGGAATGAAGGAGGTGCCTGACCCCAGGCTGTTGCAATGGGAACCCTCCCAGGGGTCACAGCTATGACCACAGGCTGAGGGACGCTGACCCCACAGCCATGCTTGGACTCGGTGGCACCCCCATCCTGCCACCACCCATAGGAAGCCTAAGTGCCTCATCTTGCTCTGAGAGGTGGGATAAGGTGGTGGAGGCTGGGGTGGCCTCAAAGATCGGCCCTAACCCACCTACCCCAAGCCTGCCAAGCCCTCCTCGAGGCTTGGTGCTGTCACCACCGAGCCAGGATGGCTCCCTAGAATTCACCTGTGCACGGCTGTTCCCTGGGCTCCCAGAAGCACTCTCCCTTCCCGCCAGCCTCCCACCCAAGGGCTTCTCACACCCTCCAAACTTTCAGTATTTGGTCCTCACAGAATTCCACAGGGGCCGTCTGTGTGGCTGGGTAACTCAATACACCCAGCAGGCTTCTCTTTTTTTTTTTTTTTTTTTTTTTGAGACGGAGTCTCGCTCTGTCGCCC